AATTTTATTTTGCCTGCTTAAAGGTTATTAACTCATGCTAAAGAAAATGATATGGCTTATGAAGCCTTACTTGCCATTTTAAATAAAGCAAATGATTCTACAAAAATTAGTTATTATTAAAGGGGACTTAATTAACTTATAACTTATTTTCTTGATCATCCAACAAAAAAAGAAAAAGGTTTTTAATTAATGCTTTATTTTGTTTCAAAATTTGATGAACATGAATAAAATTTGATTATTGATTCTTTATTTTAAATATATGAAGGAACAAAACTATTCTAACTATTGATGGAAGATTGTAATCCAATGAAACTTCTAATAATATGTAATTCAATAGAAAATGGAAGCATGTCCATTTTTATAGACTTTTTAGCATTAAATGTTATTGGAAAGATATTTATTCCTTATTTAAGTTCTTCACAAGACTATTCCTCCATCTAAATAATAATTTCTGCTATTGATTCTTTATTATAAAGAGATGAAATATCAGGGGAATAATTTTCTTTTGTAATTAAGGCCTTTAATACTGAATAATTTAAGACTGCTCTTGAAAGAAACTTATATAATGTGGGAGATAGAGAAGAGACAAATTACAAGATAGAGAATATATTGAATATATTAAATGATTGTTAATGATTGTTATATTTAGCTTCATTAAAATAAAGTAATCATTTCCTTTTATACTTTAACTTTTTTTTTAATTCTTTTGGATTATTTATGTAAATCCAATCTATTTTCAATTATTCAAATTTAATTTGCTACGAGCTGAGCTTCAAATGCAAAGTTTAAAAGTTTGGTATATATTGCACTTATATCCAATTTTGAATTCAAAATATATACAATTCTACTATTCTATAAATTCAAAAATTGAATTTGATATCTGATGGAAAGTTAATAAAATAGTTTACTCTTTTTAATTAAATCCTTTATATAATGGAAATGTTTTCATAATAAATCCTCAAATTTAATTAAAGTTACAATTTTTCTATAATATTGTCGAATGAATTAATTCAAAATTTGTTCTAAACATTTAGATTTCCATCATTTATTCTAACTTTCCTCTTTCCAACTCTTTTTTTTATATTTTTAATTATTTACACTCTAAGCCAAATATTTGTATATAATATCTTTGCTGAATATACAGTAAAACACATCAAAAGCTTTGGGTAATGTTTTTCTTTAATCTTATATGTTAAGCTTAAAATCATTCATTATGATTTATTTAGGTTTAATTCTCTTTTTATACATTCAAGTTTTAGTTTTCAATATTAAAATCATTATAAAATTCTTTGAACTTATTTACTTAATATTATTTAATAATAAATTTCATATTAATCAATCAAGAAGAATGTCTGGACAAAGCTCTCTAATAACCATGTCACTGATTTTTATTTCCATTCCCTCTGCTATTCCATCCTCTAAAGTCACTTCATCATAATTTACTATCTTTCCTCTAAAATAATCAGCAAATTTCTCTAATCTTTTGGAATCTGCCTTAATTAATCTATAATGAATTTGTCTCATATTGATTCGATGAATTATTTAGTCAGGTTTTAATCCACATGGACATCCTGTTTCATCCCATAATTCACTAAACCCTCCAAATTCTTTTCCATGTGGTGGTTAGTCACAAATATGAAAAATATATCTAAGACTTGGAATCTTACTGCTATCTCTCCAACTTATTTATTATGCTGCCACATTTAGTCCATCTAATGCTGCTTCAGCACCATCACCTCCTCCATAACAATCTGATTACTCAATTGCTTTTAATATCTCTTTATGTGAACATAAATCATGCAATTCTGTAACATAAGTTACTTCTTAAGGAGGATGATCACGATAGCACACTAACCCAAATCTCACGCTTACTTATTCACTTTTTGATTATTATTTTATTCTTTCAACTAACATTTAAACTGTATGTGTTGTTCTTTCCAAATATATATCCATCGATCCTGTAGTATCTACAACAAAAACACAGTCAACCATTCCAATTGAAGGTTGATTAGCATCTGAAGCTACTGATATGTTTGATTTAGTTTTTCTAGGTCCTTACTTAGCTTATTGCTATTATTGAGGCTATATTATTTTTTTTTCTTATTCTTTTTTTTCTGCTTTCATTTCAACTTTCTTGGAAACATTTTTTTCACTTTTCTTTTCAACTTCCATTTATGTATTGTTCTTTTTTACAGGTTAAGATTACTTTTAGATATTTTATTCAGCTACATCATTTTTTTAGACTTTTTAAGGTTAAATAGGTATTTTCTTTTCAATTTTTCTTGAAGGTTTAGATATTTATATTTATGACTATGTTTTAAGATCCTTTTTTGTTTTGGTTTATTATTTTTACTATTTTTCTCTTTTCACTTAAACTTACTTTTATTATACAATTTTTTTAGGGGATTCCTTTTGTTTCTTTTATACTTGTGCTACCCTTTAGGCTCTTTACCGTTATTAACCATTTTTATTTCTTTGTCTTGTTCTATCTACTTATTCCATTCTTTATAAATAATCATTTCCTTCTTTTATAGTTCTCTCCATAGATTTAGATCTTTTCACCATTTTTTATTATAAATAAATTTTAAATAATTTTTAACTAATTTTTCTTTGAATGTATATTTAATAATCAGATTTATATCAGATTAAAAAATGAGACTCTTTGGAATCGTATAATTCATACTTATTCAAATTCTCATGTATTTGTTTGATATTTGATAATTTATTAAATTATGAATTGTGAATATAAAACTTTTATATGTATTATTAATTATGTGTTTATAAAATTAACATCTCAATAAAAACTAGAGAATATTTTAACAAATTTAATGTAAATCACTCTTATTTACCAAGAAAGGAATTTAAAGTAAAATTCCTTTTAAACAATTATGAGGAAAATGAACACTTTACAATAATTTTATTTTTTTTAATTTCTAATTTAAACACTTTTTTAAAATAAATATAAATATAATGGATCAAAAATGAAAGATGCTTTATAAATAACGTAAATTACATCTTTTGGTAGGATCTATTTAAAATATATTTTATATTATTTCTTTATATTATTAAGAAATTCTTTTATTTTTCCAAAAATCTTTCCAATTACTTTTTGTTATTTATATCCATTTTTAACAGGTATTTTAATTTGTATAAGGAAATTCATTAGTTAATAGTTAATACAATATTACTCCTAGAGCAAAGACTTCTGTCTTCTCATTAAGATTAATGATATCATCCTAAAAAAATTCAGGAGCAAAGTATCCTCTTGAACCTCTTCTACATTTAATTTTTTATTATATTTGATTTGCAAATCCTAAATCACAAATTTTGATCTCTAATGTTGATGAATTCACTAATATGTTGGCAGTCTTTAAATCACAGTGATAATAACCAGATTCTATGATGTCATGATATCCTTCAATAAGTTAAGTAAAAATATAGTTAACGTGATATTCTTGTAATTTAAAATATTGAAGGTATTATTGGAGATTATAGTCACCAAATTTTTCATAGAGGATCCATCCAAGATTTTCTAAATCATGACTAAAAAATGGTAAATATATGATATTACCAAACATAAACTATAATATATTTACTCTTTATTTTTTGGCTGGCTTAAATTTCCCCAATTCTATCATCTTAAGATGTGGTCTCTTTAAATATTTTGATAGCATAATAATTGTCATTATAAGGTAACTCATAAATCTAATATATTTCATTTATACATCAGCTTAAAGTCCTTCATCTATTTTTTTTAAAGTTTAAATGTTTTTTAGTTTCATTTTGACGTATTCGACTATTTTTGAATCTTTCATCAAGTTGTTTAACAAAATTTATATTAAATCAATCTTTTTCATTTAAATTTTACCAATTTATGATAATATTAACATAACACAAGTTATCTATCCTTTAATATCAAACATTTCAGTTAATTTTTTATTGTTTCTGATGATGGATTTAAACTTTGGGTTTATTTAAATATGTAAATAGTATTAATAGATATTTGATGTTACTATAAGAATTAAAAAAATAAAAACTCAATAAAAATATTTTGATTGGTATTTTATTTATAAAATATATATATTTTAATTTGAAATCAGATGAGTGTTAATGAGAATTGCTAAGATTTTAATACTATGGATGAATAACATAAATAATAAATGATGCAATTAGAAACTATGGGTATGATGTGTAAATATTAAATGATTTTCACTAAAATGGATGCAGCATTATTGAAAATAGCATCAATACTTAAATAAAAGTAAATAATCGATTATAATTTCAGATAAAATAACGATAAGTCATATGCTTTATTTCAAATTAAAGATAGATCAGTAGGTCAAAAGCAATTACTTATGGTAAATGCATTATCAATAGCTTAAAGAATGAAGTTAAAATTAAATGGATTATTTAATTTTTGTGAAAAACATTCTTAAGAGAATTAATTTGTAGGTTTTGCATTTATTTTTATTTCTAAGCATTTCATAAGATTTTAATTCTATCAAAAGCTAAAAATTAAGAACAAAGACTGAAGGAAGAAAACGAAAAATAGAAAAAAGAATTTTTATTCAAATTGAATTAAAAGGATGAAGATATTGATAGGTAAAGAAAAAAGAATGAAGAATTAGAAGGAATTTTATATTAATAAAAATAAAGAGAAAGTGATTGCACAATCAAATTATAATAAAAAATGAAATTGATTTAGAGATATGAAAGTGATCTTTTAGAACTTAAACGATAACCTTCTTCTACTAAGAATTCAAATTAAGAAAATAGAGTAATTCTATTATTTATTAATTTAAGTTGAAAGAATTAGAAAATAATAATGCCATTCTAAGTTTATAAATATAATAAAATTCTTAATCTTTAATAAATTTTGTAAAGGAGATGAATGAATTATTGGACAGTCATTCTTTTATTTTGAATGAAAAGAACATTAGCAGTTTTCGTGCAAAATATAAATGAATTTTTATTTATTTTGTATCGATAATTTACAGTTTGGATACTCAACTAATTTGTTCATCTAACTCAGTATGTTATAAAAATTCATGAAACATTACTTTATTTTTATCTATTAACTCAGCAAACTTATGCTCCAATCTCATAGAATTCAATCCTAATTCCATAGGATAAGTTTCTAATTTGAGCATTCTGTTTATTAATTTATCATTGCATTGAATAAATCTGCCTCTTCTATTACTTATATAATGTGTAAAAGATTTGACCATTTATAATTTTTCATTTGACGGAAGGTGATTATTAATATTGACTGTAAGATATCCTGTTTTGAAATCAACTTGAACTAAAAATTATTTTTATTGTTATTTCAGTTATAATTCTTTTAATTATAATAGACATGATAATAATTGTGAAGAAGAAAGCTAATATTTTAATTGTAGAGACATTTCTTCATTAAAAGTATTATTATTATCATTCTATTTATTTTTCTTATTATTATTATTATTATTATTATTATTATAATTATTCTTACTGTTACTATTATTATTATTCCACAATTATCGTGTAACATATTTATCAACTACGTTATCTAAAGTTTATTTCAAATCAGGAAGATTTTAGGTTCCTTATTAGATTATTTTATATTAATTTGAATAGCAATCATATAGAAATTAAATCTAATCAATTTATTTAAATTTATACTTTTTATCTTTGTTATTAAGATAATTTAATTAATGAATCAAATAGATAGTATAAATTAGTTTTACTAATATATCTTTTATCTAAATTAATCTCTTATTTAACAGGTAATTCTAAAGATTCAGTTTTTAAAGATACTTCATATACAATTCCAAATCTATGTTATTATCCAATAAATAATTAATTGATGATAGGGGAGGCTGTAGGAGTTTCAGTTTAAAGTTAATGAGATGTTGGTGAAATAGCAACTAAGCCAGTAACAATTTAATTAAGATTATCATATTCCACCGAATCCAAAGGTGTAGAATTGTCACTTAAAATTGTAAATAATCTTTGTTAACCTGACAACGGAATTCTTCTCCCATATTAGGCCAAAAATTAATTCACATCTTATACTCGATTTCCTACTCCTACTTTAACAATTTGAGTTTACTAATCGTATTCCTAATGTAAGACCTTCCTAAGATTAATGATCAAAAAAGGATATTTACAATAAGTAAGTCTTTTGATTTCTTTTTAGGATAAATTAAGATTATTTTAAAGCTGTTATTTGTAATCCTAAATACTATCAACATCCATAGTAGTAACTTTAAATCCATATTTAGAAGCTTTTTGTACTATTTTTTTTATAGCCTCCACTTTTTAAACATAAATGATAGCTGTAGGAGTTGAAAACTTTTAGGCAACATATTGTTTCATATTACCGAAATGAAGATGCATTCCATCGCTTCTAGCCACAACATTACCAATAATTTAATCATCAAACAATTCTGTTCCATCATCTTACTTAAAATATGTTCTTGCTAGTTTTCTGATGAATCGAAGTCTCCTAAAGTAGGTCTTTTCAAAATATTAATTCACAAAATAAGAGGTTGACAAAGCACCACATATAAGAGATATTCGAACGTATAAATTATTCATTAAATTTATGAATTGTAAAATCCACCCCTTTAAGCAACGCTTATAAAATAGAAACACTTTAATGTCCTTTCTGTCTTTTACTATCAGATTTGATATATAAAATGTTTGAAAATAAAACAAAGTCTATATAAATTAATACTATAATGGATTTAAGAGAATAATAAGCTTAAAGTCTAATTCAAATATAGGATATGCATTTCGATTTGAATCATTAAGAAAAAAAAATATGATAAAAAAAATACTTGAAAGCTAGATTTGAACGATAGATTATGTAAATCTAAAGACTACGATTATGTTAGAATTTTCTAATATTAATAGAGTTTTAGTAAGACTTGTTAATACAGAAAATAAATTCTGCTTCCATCTACTCTAGACTAAAATTATATTCGAAGTTGTTTTTACATTTTAGAAAACTCAAAAATAAAATCAAAAGAAAGCAATATTGATTTTGATTAGCATATAGTTTTAGATTATCATATTGTAGAATAATTATTTATGTAATGTACTGTTTTGGATAAAAATATTGGATTAAATTGTTTCTTTTATAATGCATTAAGAATATTTTAAATTAATATTTTTTCAATCAAAACCAAAGTTAAATTTCTATTAGTTAATCTTATTAGCTTATTTTAATTCATTATTTTATAACGACATCATTTAATTAAAAGAAAAGATTGGAGATTTATGGAAAGTAAATAAGTGGGCTAATTTTAATAATTTATTATACTTTATTAATTTTACAAATACTCTTCAATCAAAGTTTTATAACATAAATTAAATACTTAAGATTTTTGTAATTTATTTATTCCTTAAAAAATCAGTTTCATTTTTTCTTTTTCCGTATACATTTTCATTATAATTGGCAATTATGGATTTGCATTTTTAATCAGTTCAAAAATAAAAAGTAAATGAATCTATTTAGATGATATTTGAGCTATATTATCTTAGATTAAATATGATATTTGATAATATTATTATAATTAAGTTAAAACCTTTTTATAAAATTAACTAAGATTAATTAATTTATCATTAAATAGTATTTTCTAGCCCTTTAATATTTAATATTAAAAGAGAGATAATTTATATTAAATTATTAAGGATGTATTTTTAGATTTTAAAAATTTCCTTAAAACATTCTATGACATTGACAATTATTTCAGATGATTATTTTATATATGATTCATACAATACTTATGTTAAAGCTTCTAATATTTTAATATACTATCTTCTGATTCCAAAATCATTATAAAATTCAATTATTCAAATTTATTTAATAATAAATGCAATTTTATTTTCTTCTCTTAAAATATTAGATCTACACAAAATTCAATATCCTTTATTTCTACTTTATTCTAATATTCTTCATGGATCTTATAAAGATACAATAATAGACTATTATTTGTTTATCTTACTGATGATTAGTTTATGAACTATTTTGTCTTCTCTTCATTTATGAAATATCCATAAGTCTTATTTGAAGATATTTATTAAAATTGTAAAATCTCTTTACGAAACCTTAGAATAACAAAGGGCTTTGTAATAAGCTTAGGGATCAGTGATTCTTCAAATTATTATTTTTTTTACCCCAATTATCATCTTTAAATTTGAATAAAAATGCTGATCTATGTAAGTATTCAATTTTATATATCAAATAACTATATGCTATAGCCACAGCTATTGTAAATGTATATTATTCAGGTAATAGTTAACCAGAATAAAAGTAATTGGTCAATATTCTAATTATTGTATATAAAATGTTAACTAAAGTTGATGGCACAAAATCTAAACCAAATCCAATAATTGCATGTACAATCATAAAATTACATCCTTTCAAAAATCCATCATATGAATCAAAATCAGGTTCCATCTTATATTCTTATAGGATTATTGCAAAATATATTATAATTAAGAAATTGCAAGATAATTTCTTCTTAATTCTGCTTATTAGTAAACCAAGAATAAAAGCTATCAATAATGAAAATGCTTAATATAAGTTATAATACATTTTGCTCTAATACTAATTAACAAGCATTATTATTATTATAATAATGCCCCCAAAGCATAAGGATTGTATAAGAGGAAATTAAATAGACTCTAATTTTTCTTTTTAAAATTTTTTTTCGAGTTGTAGATCTTAAAAGTTTAATTGAAATTTTTTCATTATATTATTGATTAGATATAAGAAAAAAATTAAAAGAAAAGCATTAATTATCTAATAGATATTATAGAATTCACAAATTAAGATTTTATATTAACACCATTATTTAGTATTTCACATCAATTTCAATCAAAATATTTGTTGAATAATAATTATTAATTATTTAACAAATTAGAAAATTGGATAATAAAGAAATTATTAGGTGATAGAAAATTAAGAAATAAGCAATTAAAGAACTAATTTATAATAATTTGATTAAATCCATCTCGATATACTTGCAAAATATTCAATTTACATTTGAATTTTTATATTTGAGTAGCAATAAATGTTATAACTCTTTATTAAAGAAATAAAGGAAGGAATTTAAATTAAATAGAAATCTGTATTTTCATGATGAAGCCTTAGGATTGTCAAAGTTATTTTATATTATCTTTTTTCCATAAATTATTTTTAAGTTCCATTCACTAGATCTCTATATAATAACATAAATATTATAATTAAGAAAAAATTTGAGGATAGTCGATTTCGTAAATTTTAGATAATACAGAAAAGTATTTTTTTCTTGTTAGCAATAAGATAGTAAAATATTATTAGAATAGTTGAAAATATATAAATAAAACAATTTAAACTTAAAAATATGAGATGATTATTTCTAGAAATAGTATTTTCTATAATATTATTTATAATAATTATTATATAGGAAATATATATAACAGTAATCAGACAATATATTTTCTTTTTTACATAAAGCATTTTCTTTTTTATAAATTTGATTATAGTTCACTCTTTTTTTCCAATACTTATTATAATAAGGATTGTGATCTTCTTTAACGGGGTTTTTCATATTTACTTAATTGTGCAATGTTTTTTTTTTATATATACCTTGCAATTTAATTAATTAATACTTATCTTCTGAACATAAAATACTGTATTTTGCTATAATCTCAAATACATTTGATAGCTAGTGTAGTTAAGAAGTTTAGGATGACGTTGAACCATTTCTTTTATTCATCATTTACATGGTTTATAATATTTATTAATTATATTTATCAAAGTCAAAAAAGAACATAAGTTGAAAGTATTTCATAAAAAAGATTAGTGCTTTTTTCAATCCATTGATATAAACTATTTTAATTTCTTATTGAAATAAATATATAATATGCTATCTAATTTATTAAATAAAATTAACAATTATTCAAATGATTTTCTAAAAGTACAACAAAATTTATGATCAAATTTTAACATTTTCGTAGAATAATGTAGTGATTAATTGTAATAATTCATCTTTATCATTTAAAGCTTAAATATAATATTATTCCTCTTCTTGTGAATCTTAACTTTAGCTTTGATTATTTTCTTTCATCTAATCATCATTTTATAATTAAAAAATAAGTGAATTTAATTTCTCAATTTATTCATTTTATTTTATTAATTATTTGCATATTATTAAGAAATTCTCGTTTTGTTGTTCCTTTATTTCTTTTATTTCTTTATCTTTTTATTAAGAATATTATATATAATATCTTAAACTCTAGAATTATAATCAAACTATTTACTTCGAATAAATTAGATTATTCAATATGCCTTTCCTATTGAAATTGATTAAACTTTGTGAAAGAACTCCCTCTAGAATGAGAACCATGCTAAATAAGGTGAATTTATCTTTCCAAATTGGCAATTTTATTATTCTTCTCTGTTATTAACTATTACAATTTATATACATTGTTTTCATCGGGATTTTTAAAAGATTAATTAATAATGCTGGCTGGATGATCGAATTTACATAATGATTAATTAAAATCAAAACAATTTGACTTTGGTGACACCCAAAATTTTTATTCTAATTCTATAATCTAACTGTTATTAGAAGATAATAATCCTTATGTTCTTAAATTTTCTAAGTAACTTTTTTTGTCCTATTAATTAGAATTTAAATATTCCTCTAATTCATACTTATATTTTTCCATTTTCTTTTTAGATTAAGTTGTTTCTTATTCATATTCATAAAGTTTTTTTTTAAACTTACATATATCTTATTCATATTATGATTGTTTACTCATAAGTTTTAGATTTTCTTCCTTTAAAATTTAGATTTCTTTTTTAAGAAATTCAATTGTTCTTATTTCAGAAGTATCTTTTGAATCTGCTGTTTCATAATCTAGTGCTCTTTCAGTAGGTTGATTGGATGATAATTAAGATTTTAATTTTTAATTTTTTCTCTTTTTTTTAAATACTTCTTTTTATTAAATTTCCACTAAATTATTAAGTTCTTCAATTTATTATTTATTTTTTTCTTAATCTTTGATGAATTCCTCAAATTTAAGCCAAGCTTCTTCAAAATCATTGCAAATTACNTAATATGCTATCTAATTTATTAAATAAAATTAACAATTATTCAAATGATTTTCTAAAAGTACAACAAAATTTATGATCAAATTTTAACATTTTCGTAGAATAATGTAGTGATTAATTGTAATAATTCATCTTTATCATTTAAAGCTTAAATATAATATTATTCCTCTTCTTGTGAATCTTAACTTTAGCTTTGATTATTTTCTTTCATCTAATCATCATTTTATAATTAAAAAATAAGTGAATTTAATTTCTCAATTTATTCATTTTATTTTATTAATTATTTGCATATTATTAAGAAATTCTCGTTTTGTTGTTCCTTTATTTCTTTTATTTCTTTATCTTTTTATTAAGAATATTATATATAATATCTTAAACTCTAGAATTATAATCAAACTATTTACTTCGAATAAATTAGATTATTCAATATGCCTTTCCTATTGAAATTGATTAAACTTTGTGAAAGAACTCCCTCTAGAATGAGAACCATGCTAAATAAGGTGAATTTATCTTTCCAAATTGGCAATTTTATTATTCTTCTCTGTTATTAACTATTACAATTTATATACATTGTTTTCATCGGGATTTTTAAAAGATTAATTAATAATGCTGGCTGGATGATCGAATTTACATAATGATTAATTAAAATCAAAACAATTTGACTTTGGTGACACCCAAAATTTTTATTCTAATTCTATAATCTAACTGTTATTAGAAGATAATAATCCTTATGTTCTTAAATTTTCTAAGTAACTTTTTTTGTCCTATTAATTAGAATTTAAATATTCCTCTAATTCATACTTATATTTTTCCATTTTCTTTTTAGATTAAGTTGTTTCTTATTCATATTCATAAAGTTTTTTTTTAAACTTACATATATCTTATTCATATTATGATTGTTTACTCATAAGTTTTAGATTTTCTTCCTTTAAAATTTAGATTTCTTTTTTAAGAAATTCAATTGTTCTTATTTCAGAAGTATCTTTTGAATCTGCTGTTTCATAATCTAGTGCTCTTTCAGTAGGTTGATTGGATGATAATTAAGATTTTAATTTTTAATTTTTTCTCTTTTTTTTAAATACTTCTTTTTATTAAATTTCCACTAAATTATTAAGTTCTTCAATTTATTATTTATTTTTTTCTTAATCTTTGATGAATTCCTCAAATTTAAGCCAAGCTTCTTCAAAATCATTGCAAATTACTTTATCTAAAAAAAAGTTAATCTAACAGTTCAATTTATCAATTATATCTGTATATTCAATTAGTTTATTTTGCATTTCATATAATATATTTTAATAATCTAATTTCATTTATTCAATCTATTTATTTTATTAAGTTATTATATTATCTTTACTATACAAATTTTCCTCAAGAGATATAATCATACTTGTAGTTTAAACATCTTATTGACTATAATCTTATAAACCATTTGTTTCTTATATATCATTTAAGATGAAATTTGCTATCTCTAATTGTTGATACTCTGGACATGATACCATATATGAAATAGCTTCTTCTTTTTTTACTTGTAAAAGTGTTTCAAGAAAATATTTAATGAATTTAGTTAATTCTTCATTACAATCAGAAAATGCAATATCATCACTAAAATCTTGAATTTATAGGTTATTATTTTTTCTAATATTTTGCAAACGATTAATTATTTAATTCCATAAGTTTTTTTTCAAATCAGTTTGAAAGCTATAATGAGGATATATATTACAAATAATCTTCCAATTAAGCAAATAGAATTCCATCTTAGATATCCCTTAAATGATGGATTTATCTTTTTGGATAATTACATTTGTTAAGCTACAAATAATTATAGAAATTTTTACTAATGCTATAACACTTTTCATAAATTAAATAAAAATTTTGACAAATAAATAAAAAAAAATAAAAATGAAAATCAATTATCATACTCTTAGTCTTAAAAAGACAAGAGTTCCATTTTTTTAGTCAATTTTCCAGCCTAATTTTATTTGATACCTTATTTAGCTTCTATCTACATTTGCTCAAATTTTTCTTATAAGTCATTCTATTTCAATTTTAAAAATTTAGCTGCTTCTTATTAAGCCTCACTTTAATCATAATTTATATCTGAAAGATTATAATAGTCAAAATTATGATAAGGAGTATTTATTCTAGAATCTATTTAGTTAGGTTCATAAATGTCTGGTTTGCATTAATTAGATTTTAATTAATTATCTAATTAATCAAATAAACTTAGTAATCCTTATTATTTTTCTCTAAATTGATTAGAAACTTAGCCATTTACTGGTATGAGTTTTTTTGATTAATGATATAATTCCATCAACTCATTTATAGTTCTTTAATCCTTGATTTCGAAATAGTCTTCAGAGATTTCGGGAAAACTAGGAATATCATCTGAATAAATATTTTTTCCAAACATTTAATAATTTAAATAAAATAGAAGTTTTTGTTTTAATTATAAAATATATATATAGAGATTTAGAGTTTGAAAATAAAATAGTAATGATTAAATTCTTATTTTCTTAAAGAAAAAGATTACTAGTTAATTAAAGGTAATTAAAATAATGAAATTTTTTAAAGATAATTAGCAAAATTCATTATAGAAAAATAACTTGATTAAATTTGAGAGCTGATTAAAAATATATTAATATGCAATTTGTTGAAAAATTCAGATAGAGGGATAAAATCAAAAATAATATGAATCTATAAATGATAATATTCAAAACAGACTTTTGGATTTGAAAATTTGATCACAACTTTCAGATTTTAATAATAATTAAATGATTAGAAATTATTTTATTGAAATTTAGATCTTTAAATGAACTTGACTATAAACATTTCAAAATATATCTAATTGATGGAGATTATTATAGTTTGAAAAGTAACAAAGATCCTAATTTGATATCTCTGAGATTTTGATTAATATTTTTGAATTAATTTGTTCTTAAAGGAAACATTTATAATGTTGTATCCAGCATTAATATTTTTAATTTTATAGAAGTATTCTTATTGAAATTCTAATAATATATATAATTATTAAATTTATGAGTGACTCAATAGACATATTTAATTAGTAATCTTGCTTTTAAGAGGATAATTTTTAAGGACCTAATTTAATGATGGTTTCTGAAAGAATTTTACTAGGAGATGGAGATGTCTATTAAAAATCACCAGATAGCAACTCATTTACTGTGCGTGATCCATCAAAAATATAAGATCTGAGCAAAGAATTGATAGACTCTGTTCCAATGGATATGCATAAATCATATAAAGGATTAAAAAAATCTGAATATTAGTCAGCTTATGCTATTGAAGAAGAATTAGAAATTAGTGGTAAACCACAATTTTTAAAGCTTATCATCTCTAAAAGTCTACAAAATAACTTCATCAATAATTTATGGAATAGGAGTTATCTAAGAAAATTACATCAGCTATCACCTTTTTAGGTTTAAGCATTAGATGATTTATAATTTGAAAATGAAATTTTCTAAGAGGAAGATGATAATAAAAAGGAAATCAATATTTTTGAAATAATTAAGAAATTTTTTCTTCAATTAGACGTGTTCACACCATATAGTAAATTAATTTTTATATGGGATTTGTTTTAGATTTTCACTTATGTTTTGATTTTTTTTTGGTTGCCTTACAAAATTTCATTTTCTTTAGACTCTATAGGATAACTATTAAACTTTAAATCAAAAAATTAAATTATTGAGATAATATTATTGACAATCTTAAGTTTTGATGTTGTTGTTGGATTGAATTTAGCATTTATTCATAAAGGGATTATAATAACAGAAAGAAAAAGAATTATTGTTAATTATTTTAAACAATATGCATTTGTAGACCTTGTAAATATAAAGATGTATATTAGTAAATAAGGTTTCAATAAGTACTGTAACAATACAATTTTTCATTTTAAATGATGGATAATAAGACCATGATATAGACAATAATTTGACTTTACAAATAATATTTTGTGTGATATTTTATGTATTGAGAATGACAAAAATAAATAAAATATTAGCATAAATACAAGAGTAAATATATTATATAATGTTTAAAGATTTTTCAATTTAAATGGTTCATTAAATGATTTAGTTGGATTATTAAAGTTAACAATGATAATTTTATTTATTGCTCATATTTGTGCATGTGTTTGGCATGGAGTAGCTTACTATAATGATTCTTATTCTTGGTTAGATGCTTATAATTTAAGAGATTAAGGGAATGCATCAAAATATAATAAAGCAATATATTGGGCTACAATGACAATGACAACAGTTGGATATGGAGATATTACTGCTAAAAATAATTTAGAATTATTGATTAATAATTTGACAATGTTCATAGCTTCTATTGTTTTTGCTTATTCAGTAAATAGTATAGGAATATTTGTATCAAATATGTATAAAGGTACTATGGAATATAGTAGAAGTGTTACTCTAATCAATACGTTTATGTCAAAGAATAAAATTTAATTTGAACTTTAAACTAGAATTAGAAGTTATTTAGAATATATTTGGTAAGAAGAATAAAATATGAATGATGATGAAGTATCATAAATTATTTGTAAATTAAGTAGTCATTTATAAGATGAACTATAATTTTAATTAAGAGGAAATATTCTAAGAAATTGTAAAGTAATGATTAAGATATTTTCTGAAAAAATGATTAAATGTTTATTAGGATAAATGGAGGAATAAAGTTTTTCACCTGAAGAGAGAATAATAACTATAAATTAAATTGATGATGGTTGTTTATATGTTATTACAAAAGGAGAAATTGAATTAATTTTTGAAGGAATGAATAATCTAAATGAAAGATACAAAAGAAATAGTTTAAAATATCTATCTTAAGGTGATTTCTTTGGTGAACTTTCATTTTTTACAGGAGAACCTAGAAAATGCACAGCAATTTCAAGAGGATTCACAAAAGTATTTAAAATAAAAAGAGAAAACTTTTTAAAAATATTATCTTCATTTCCAAATGATTATGAAAAGTTTTGTGAAGTTAAACATTAATTAAAATAAGGAGATTTTAGTTCTTTATAGATTTCATGCTATAGTTGTTAAAGTAATTCTCATTTAATAGATTCTTGTAATTATCTCCATTTTTGTGCAGATAAAGAAGCAATTTTGAAAAAAGAACTTTATCCACACTATCAATATCGTTCTCGATTAGTTAGTAGAGGTGCAAAAGCTTTTAAACATAATTGGGATTAATATAAATATATAGTTTAAAGAGCAAAAGACTTTTAAACAGATTTTTATTAATAACCAACTGATAATGAAAATGATGAATAACCTTCATAAATTGCTAATGATAATTACACTTATGAAGATGAATCTAAAAGTATGAAATTAAAAATAATTTTTTTTTAGTTGAGATTGATGTACCTTCAACAATTAATTAAAGAAGTAATTCAAGATCATTAAGCAGAGTTAGTTAAAAACCAAATCAAGTAATTATTGAAGAAGAAGATGATTCTAAATTATATACAAGAAAGGTAGTTAATCCAAGAGGAACATTATAAACAGCAGGATTTGGTAATGCAAGCTTAAAGGAAAGCAAAAAGTTTGATTTTGCAAAGGAATATGAAATTGAATAACCCATTTCTGAAGAATCATCATCAGAAGAAAAAGATTAAATTATCATCCCATCAGTCTAAAAAACAAATTAAGACAGAATTTAAAAACAAAAAATTACTTTCATTAGAAAAGAATCATCTGAAGATATAGTACCAAGATAAGCTTCTCTTCGTTCTAGAACATTTACTCATAATAAATTATAATCAGAAATTTTGAAAAGAAGCACAACACCTGATAGGTTGAGTTCAGAAATTGAAATATCTCCAAATTATAATATTACAAAGAGAATGACAGGAAAGAAACATTCAACTACTAAGACATTTACAAAACAAGTTTAAGAAGCTACAGAAGGCAATCAGAATATGACTTCTATGATGGATAATTAAACATACTTACCTATTATACCATAAATATATTCTCAATTTGATAAGATGTAGATATTTACTCATTTTTTCCCTTTTAGTAATTATGATATTGTAATCAAAAGATATTAAAAAATACAAAAGTATTTTGGTAAAAAGAGATAATATCCAGAGTCATCAAAATATTCATTTTATTTTATGACAATTAAAAAAGGATGGAAATTAAGAAAATTAGGACAAAAATTATAAGGGTTAAAATTAGTAGATACAATAAAGAAACCATTTGGAAAAACTATGTAGAGTGGTAAGATTATTAAATCTAAAAATTTATTAACTAATCTTGGAAATACTGGGTAAGTAATTCCTTATTTAAAAGATGGTTAAGTATTATAAGATGAAAACTTATGAGAATAATCATAATTTGAATGAACATAGTATTATGTTAGATTTATCAAAAATTTCTCTCTTTTTTTGATATTTTTTATTTTCTTTAATTTAAATTTCTTTTTCATCAAACTATTGAAAATTTCTGTTCAATTAAATTGAATTTAGATTATTATTATTAGCTTCTTGAATCCCTTTTATATTTAATTGGTTTTATTTAGATTAAAAATATTATTAACTTTCACCTAAACTAGATAATATAGGTTCTGAACATTATTTTATTTTATTTTTTCTAAAGTAGCCTTATTGTTTCAAATAAAGTTTTAGATTATTCTAGTCATCCTTAAAGATAAAAGAAAATTTCTTACTTTATGATTTTAATCATGTTTAATTCTAGTTTTAAGTATTAGACTCTGTTAAATTTTACTTTATAAGGATTGAATATCTCTATCTTCATCACTCATTATGTCCAGCTATTTGTTTTTATGATTATATAATTCCTAAGAGCTGAAATAACGACTTCTTCTT